TCGAACTCCTGAGCTCAAACAATCCGCCCGCCTCGGCCTCCCAGAGAGCTAGGATTACAGGCGTGAGCCACCGCGCCCGGCCAAGGCTTCCCCTTTGAGAAAACACTCTCGCTAGCTTTCCTTGCCCTAGCTGCTTCTGTCACTCCCCTTCTTCTGATGGGCTGCCTCCAGGAAATCACTTCAGCAAGAATCCTCATGTCAGGCTCTGCTTCTATGGAACCTAAGACACTATTGTTATTACAATTGTCTCTCAACTTACATTTCTTTAATGCAATTCATCCTTATACACTCCACTTGAAGCCGAAGGCTGGTGCTTCCAAAATCACATTAGTAGCTCATCAGCTCTGAGGGTACCACATGGACAGACTCACGTGCACAAACTCTCCTACACTTACCCTTGACACTATTTTGCTGTCTGAGAAGCTGTTTTTGGAATGAAGTCTAACACTGTGTTATGTTGAAATTTTAACATTCATCTGTATTAATTTTATCATGAATGTACACCCAAGGTGATCTGGGTCAGATCAGATTCTCATTATTCATTCTAAAAGCAAAACACAACCACATGGTTCCTCACATCCCAATTCTTACCCCTGAAGTAACAATGCAAACTAGGTCAAAATCTCCTACACATACAAAATCTGTATCCTAGGCAAGGAATGGAGAAAAATGGAGTTTCTCTGTTTACATACAGGAGAAAGAAACAAAGTAGGAGGAAGAAAAAGCTTTGCTCTAAAGAGACCAGATGGAAAGGATCCTGGAAATGTAAACACATCCCTCCCAAGTGTCTTTGGATTTTGTGATCTAGAGGTGTCTCCAAGGTCCGGGAACGTATTTTCCCTTGAAATGTAAACACATCCCTCCCGAGTCAGGCATATTTCTCTGGAGTTCTCTCTACCTTTACAGTAGTAAATTAACTCCCAAGGCTCGCTCTTCACCCAGGGATCACAAGTATTCTGCAAAATTTATTCAAGAGCATCAATTCTATTAAAAAAACAAGAACATTTTCTCTATACCCCACATGTCTGTCTCAGGAATCGGCAAAGGCTGCCATTTCTCTGCCTCTGATCACAGGCTGCCTGAACTCTCCTCTCTCAAGATATCTAAAAGTCTGGCCTAGACACAAACACTTTCTATTTCTACCATACCCCATTTCTGGGTGGCATGGCAGATTATCGTTCTACCACTAATAGACAGTATTTCAGTGGGTAATAAAATGTTCACATACACAGTGTATGTTTTGGAAAAATCTTCGCAGTTTTCGGAAGGAAAAAAATCCATTTGAATTTAACCTGAGGTGGTTGTTCGCCTCTGAAAGAGAAATTCAGGCATTTTTTTAAATCACCTTAATTCTTTTTGCAATTTCTTTAAAGTTGTCTCTTTTTAAAAATTCCCAGATGACTTAGACAATATACTCTTTGATCATTTTAGGCTTGGGAGACAGTTCTCCAAAGACCTTTCATATTTCTGCACGTATTGTGAGCAAAGGCACTGAACAGTTTTTGTCTCAGCTGTCTATTCAACAGTGTTTGAAGAGTGAATAGCCTTGGAAGATGGAGACATTGTCTCCCCCTGGAGCAGAGAGCAGGTTTCCTTGCTATTCAGTATAAAAAAGACGTCTTCTTCTGGGGCAAAGGTCAGGCAGGCTTGCTTGCAGCCCATTGTCAAAACATGGAATTCCTAAGGTCAGGGTTCCTCAGCCGTGATGCCAACCCACTGTGCACACAGCATCCACCTGAGCCCCTCCACCTCCCGCTGTGAGAACTGGGGGGAAAGGGAACTGTATTAGCTTCCTATTGCTGCTGTAACAATACCTAAAAATGTGGAATTGGGCAATGGGCAGAGGCTGAAAGAATATTGAGGTGCATGACAGAAAATAACCAGATTGCCTTGAGCAGCCTCTTAGTAGAAGTATAGATGTTTACAACTGAGTGAGGACTCAGAAGACAGTGATGAGCATGATTTAAAAAAAATATGTCTTATGGAGTACGTAAATCATGACAGACTGTTGGCATAAATATGGACATTAAAGCCATGGCGGGTGAGGGTTTTGATGGGAAGGAGGAAGATGAGATTGGAAACTGGAGAGAAGAGGATCCTTGTCACATAGAGGCAGAAGACTTAGGTGAATTTTGTTCTGCAGTTACATAGAAAGCAAAATCTGTAAACAACAAATTTGAATATTTAGCTAAGGAGATTTCCAGGCAAAACATTAAAGATGAAGCCTGGTTTCTTCTTGCCACTTGTAGTAAAAAGGATACATTGAGGAAAGAACTGTTTAAGTGAAAAGGAACCAGGACTTGGTGATTTGGAAAAATCTCATCTTAGGCAGATTGCAAAAGACATTCAAATTAGGAGATTCATTGTCAGGAAAGCATGCTCTGGAGAGAAAGCCAAGCATATGACTGGACAACCTTTGCTAGTGTCTCAAAAGAAACAAAAAGAATATTCAATCACACAGGAGTTTCTCTGTGAAGAAACTAGGAGTAGGACTCATGGATCCCTTTATCCATCTGAGTAGAAGCTAGGAATAGAGATAGGATTATTCAGGAAGGATCTACAGAGGAGCCCCTTGCCTAATGGGATGAATTCCTGTGATACATACAGAAGACCCACAGGTTCTTAAAAATACTATACCATCAGAAACATTGCCGACTTAAACTGAAATGCACAGAGTGAGGACAACATAAAAGAGGGATGTTAGACTCAAAATTCTACCTGCAGAAACAGGTTGATAAAACTGCTCAGCTACAAACACGTTCTACCCTTCAAGAAAAAGGAAGGATGATTCCAAGGGCAGAGGTTCAGGCCCCGAGGTTGGAGCTGTTACGGGCTGTTGAAATCCTTGGTTCTTGTCTTCTCGAGATTGAAGAATGAAAGCAAGAGACAGTTTTGAAGCAGCAAGCAGCAAATTTTATTATTAATAAAGCGAAAATTCACTCTTAAAGGGGTTAGCGGTTTCCGTGGTGTAGTGGCTATAACGTTCGCCTCACTCTTAAAGGCGTTAAGGGCGGGCACACGTCCTAGTGGACAGTGACACTGTGGTCTTTCTAGGTTTCTCTTTTTTTTTCCTGTCTGGCCTCTCCCCCTTCCTGACATTGTCTCTTTTTTTTTTTTTTTTAACCAATGGGGATGTTGTCTTCTTCTTGCCATTGAAGGTTGGGGGGTGGGGGCAGGGGGAGTTTTTCACTTTACATGGTTAGGCCGGGATGTGCGGTCATGTCCAAAGCCCATGGTGGGAGGGCAAGCTGTAATGTGCCTTGTGTCCTTCCTGTTACATTTCTTGTGACAGTTGTAGCTACCCTTAATCTTGTTACTGTTGCAGTATGTTCTCTTACTTGGCACCCATTGGTTTACTTTGCTGGTTGCTCGCTTTTTCTATGCTCATATCCCCCTTTTCTTACCCTAACATTCTGTCACACCAACAGGGACCCGTATCTTGCAGTGTGTTTCCTTACCCAGTAACCCTTTTGCTCACACGGCCCACTCCAAACGTGTCTCACCTTCCTGCCTGTGCTAAAGGGCCACGAGTCACAGAAGAGTATTTGCAGGTCTTGCAACCTAACAGTTTTCCCAGCTGAATTTTGAAATTTCATGGGACTGGCAACTCTTTTTGTCTTCCATTTTCTCCTGTTTGAGTGGGAATACTGTTGACCCTTGAACAATATGGGTTTGAACTATGCAGGTCCACTTACAGATTTTTTTTTTTCCAAAGAAACATGGATCTAAAATACAATATTCCTGGGATGTGAAACCCACATATATGAACGGCCAACTTTTCATGTATACAGGTTCCTCATGACCAACTTCGGGACTTGAGTATGCAAGGATTTTGGTATATTTGGGGGTGGTGGTTCTGGAACCAGTGTCCCACATATACCAAGGGACAACTGTATTTATAAGTAGTATCTTATGTTAATATTCTGTAGCCAGTGGCACAGCAGTGTGACCACAGATACATCAACCCAGAAATACACAGAAGGCACCTACCCTCACTCAGCTGACAACCTTCCTCACATATCTTGGGGGTGGGAGCCCCATGCGATGTACCATGGATTGGCACTCATTCTCAGGTGGGGCAGGGTTGTCCCCAGGTTTGAGCATGGATGGTTGCAGGTCTCCAGAAGAGCTGTTTTAGCACAACCCAGCAGAAATGTTGGCTACAGTGATCATGTGAGTTTCCTGACATCCTTGTAGACTCCCCAACACCCTGACTAAAGCTTGGTTCAGTTAAGGGTGAAGTGGAAGGTGCAGAAATTGGGAAGAGTCTATAAGAGCTAGGAGGCAGTGTCCTCGTTTATACTGCTTTATGTATGTCTCAGCCTCATTTGGATGCAAAGTCATAAATTTACAAAATGTTAGAGCTGGATGCATCACTCCAGACACATCACATTACAGTTAAAAATGTGGCAGCCAGGGAGGGAAAGCAACTTGCAAAAGGCAGAGCGTGGTAGGCAGCAGGGCCAGATCAGGACATAGGAGGCCGACCCTCACTCAAGAATGCCGACAGTGAATACTTGCCCAAGTTTTTCAACAAGGAAGATGAGGCAGTATAAATATGAATCCCCTCAAAGTCTCAAATGTGTTAAAAAGCAAAAAAAAAAAAAAAACACTTGGCTTAATCAGCTCTCTTCTAAGGGAGCTCCCTTCTCTATCTCCCGCCTCTATGTTTCTTTCTGTCTCTACCTCCCTCTGTGTCTCTCTGTCTCTCTCTCCCTCCCCCCACACCCACACACAATTTTGGTGGATGGAAATTTCATGGTATAGCAAAACAGAATCCACATCTTTGGGTAGACACTTTTCAGAGCATGTTTCTCAATCTAGGTCTTTGTGTGATGTCTGGGAAAGTGGCTTATTTTCGAGAACAATCGGTGGTTCCGAAATCAGAAGATCGTCCTCCCCAAAGGAGGAGTTCTGGTCCGTATTCACAAAGTTGGGGATGTCAAACTTCATGAGCCTGTTCAGCTCCTCCTCTGGCTGCCCACTGCTTCCCATGACTTCCTGGAGTTGGACGTCACTGCCGAGGCCTGTGGTCTGGTGACAAGCTCTGGCCTTGTCCGAGTGTTCTACTTCATTGATGTAGCAGTGAAAGAGAGACCTGGACTCCTCATTGCCCTGGCGAGAAAACACCTTATCCGGCTCCAGAGGTCTTCCAAAGTCTGACACAAAGCTGTTCATTCTGAATCTCTTCTCCGAAGACTCTGCATTGCTATAAATGAAAGGAAAACAAGAGACTGCTTATGCTCTAGCTCATTCACCTGCAGAATCATGGCTTTTGGCGTGGAGGGCAGGCCAGGACATTCCCACCAGGCACCTATTGAGTGTAAGTCTTTTCAAGGCATGCAGACAACTTGAGAAAGGAGAGCCATCACATTTCTGAACATGTGCAAATAAACCCAAGGCAAAAGCTTCAAGATGAGGGCCCCTGGATCATCCCCAAAACAGACATCTTGCTGAGGAATTCCCCAGTATTCTGAAGATACACCAGTGTTTTTCAACGGGATTCTTGGATCATGGGCATCAGAATTACTTGAGGTGCCTCTTAAAATGCAGATTCTTGGATAGCAGACCCTCAGAATCTCTGAAGGTAGGTAGGCTTGGTAATCTGTATTTTCACAGAGTCTCCAAGTACCATTATTCATACTAAAGTCTAGAATCACTGGCTTACATCCCCCCAGCCTGAAAACAACAATACTATCTCATACGGGTACATTAAATATGTATCAAAACCATTTATCTCACTTGATTCTCAAAACTGAACAGTGCAATCTCTTAGGGCAAGAATTGCTGTGCCCATTTTACAAATGTATAAACTAAAGTAAGGAGCAGTCAAAACTTCCCACTTGAGATGCACAACCAGTTTGTGATACGAGCGGTAGTAAAACCTAGGTTCCTAAATCCCTGTTTCATTTAGTGTGTAACAAGTTAGTGGTTCAGTGGTAATAATGAGCGAATAATGAATAAAATAACTCTCACTTAGTCTTACGAGTGCATGAAAGAAAGAGCATGGGGAAGTTGAGAAACCTGATACCTCATCTTCTTTCATCACCAGCCTTTCTAGACTGATGTGTGGGTTGCTCATGCACAGGCAGTGACTCCCTAAGGGCAAGAATCGCGAGTGAACATGTTGGCAAATCCAGAAGAGAATTTGACAAAAGTTAGGCTCTAGTGTCTGTGTTCAGTGAACATGTCATCTTCTCAAAGCTCCCAGTTTTTTAAATCTCTTTCTTCCCAACCCATCACTCAGGACAAAGCACTTACACCAAATTCTTATGAGGCAGTGAGCGCAGATTTAATTTACAGGCCTGGAAAATCTGATCATATAACACTAACCTCCAAATTATCAAAATCACTTGGATTTCAGAAGTCAGCAAGCCTATAAGGCTTGCAATCCAGCTAGCTGAAGGACTTTTATGTCAGATCAATCTCCTAGCATGGCTACCTGGGTGACAAAGCAAGGAATTCCTCTAAGAAGCCTGAATTTTTCCTTTCAGTAATAAGTCTGGTTAATAACTTTCATTGCCCACTAAACACATGTGTTGTGAAGATCAAGGGGTTACACAAAAGTCCAATATTCACCATGTCATGTATTCAGAATTCAGAGAAAAATCGCTTTAGAGAGACTCTGAGGACTTGTGCCCTCATGCAAATTTAAATGGTTTTCCTCTTTGTTTTTCTATAAATAACCTTCCCCCCACTTATCACCTTCACTTGGGTTTAAAAGATGTTTGAGAACAGAGATGAGTATGCCGGCAATCTGCGACCTAATAAGCTAAAACGTCACCTAGGAAAAAGAGGGGCTTAAAGTGTTTGGGAAAAGCGATGACGAAGCTTGCTGGGGCCCACACCATTCCCTGATTCCAGGGCTAAGAAGCTCTGAGAAATAGCTTTTCCGCCCTCCTTGGGCACCAGCTGAGTGTGACAGCAGACCCAGAAACACAGCCGTGTGCAGTGGTTCTTCCATAACACAGCTCCGTTTCCTCAGAATTAAGAATTGATCCACTGACCACTCTTGTTAGGGAACTAAGGCACAGGAGACCAAGAAAGCTTTGCTCCTCTCCAGGGCAGAGCCAGGGTAGTAGATATTAAAGCGCCTCTAAAGCCCCCTGCTCCTCACCCCTGAGGCTGAACTGGGGCTCCCATGGCCACCCCACTTCCCGCTAGCTTTGTCCCAGTGATCTCTTGGTGTGACAACAGTGTGATGTGTCTGCTTCTCCCTCCCTGAGAACAGTGAAAAGTTTACCTTTGTATTCTTAGCATCCAGTAAATGCTCATTATGTTGTCCTTTCATTTCTCCTTTCTTTCCTTGACTAATAAACTAAAGGACCTATATGTCGTAAAAGTTGTGAGAATGAAAATGGAGTCACTTATGTTAAAAAAAAAATCCCTGACAAATAGAGCCAGGAAAGGCTATGAAGACAGGGTTCTCATGCACCAACACCTGATACCAACAACTGTCACAAAAGACTGTGAAAACCACAACCTTGCACAAAGGCCATCACAACCTCACACACACACAAAAATCTCTGGGAAGACATCTGCCCGGCAACTGCCTGCCCAGCCTAGGACTGGTGCCATCCTTGTTTTTGACCCTTGTAGCCAAGGATAATTATCTCAAAACAGTATATAATCCTCTTCAATTTCCTTTAAAACCTTTGTCTTCCTTTACCTCCCAGAATATGCACATGAGTGCATATTATGGCATGAGTATTCCCATTGCAATGTTCTATTCCCAAATAGATATCTTTTTTTTTTTTTTTAGAGAACCTCTTTCTGTTTGTTATTTAGGTTAACAATGTGAAAAACTGTGATCATGGACACCACTTGCTTCAATTCAGTTACTATTCATTCCATCATTGGGTAAAATTTACATATAGTGTACATAAATGTTAAATGCACACACTGGTCTTAAGAATAAAATTCTATGAGTTTTTATTAATCTACACACCCATGTGACCACCACCCCAATCAAGATGTTGAACTTTTATTTCCTTTATCCTAGAAAATTTCCTTCCATTCAATTTCTACCCCCTTTAGGAAACACTGCTCTGATTTCTTTTCCATGGCTTAGTTTTGCCTGTTCCTGGATTTCCAGTCACCTCCCAGAGTGCTAGGATTATAGGCATGAGCCCACCATGGCCTTGTTGTGATTTTAATGTGCATTTCTTTGATGTGAAATATCGTTGAGCATCTTTTCATGTGTGTACTGGCTATTTGTTTCTTTTTTCTTTTCTTTTCTTTTTCTTTTTTCAGACAGAGGACAGGGTCTCCCACTGTTGCCCAGGCTGGAGTGCAAGTGGCTCATCCATAGCTCACTGCAGCCTTGAATTCCTAGGCTCAAGTGATTCTCCTGCCTCAGCTTCCCCAGTGGTGGGTGGGGGGACTACAGGCACATGCCACTGTGCCTGGCTAATATTTCTATTTTTTGTAGTGACAGGATCTTGCTGTTTTATCCAGGCTGGTCTCAAACTCTTGGGCTCAAGCAGACCTCCTACCTTGGCCTCCCAAGGTGCTGGGATTACAGGCATGAATCACCAAGCCCAGCTGGCTTATTTTCTCTCATGAAGTATCTGCAGGAGTCTTTTGCCCATTTAAAAAACCGAGTTGTTTTTTTGCTATTGACTTGTAGAAGTTTTGTAATATATTCTGAATATAAGTTGTTTGTCAGTTTTACAAATACAAATATTTTCTCTTGATCTGTGTGACTCGGCATTTTCATTTTCTCAAAAATATCTTTTGATGAGCAGAAGTTCTAAATTTCAATTAAGTTCAGTTTATCAACTTTTTTTCTCTTATGTTTAGTGCTTTTTATATCCCCTTTAAGAAATAATTGCCTATGCCTGGGCAACATAGTGAAATTCTGATTCTACGAAAAAAAATTTTTAAATTAGCTAGCTGCAGTGGTGTGTGCCTATAGTCCTAGCTACTCAGCAGGCTGAGGCAAGAGGATGGCTTGAACCCAGGAGTTCAAGGTTATAGTGAGCTATGATTGTACCACTGCACTCTAGTCTGGCTGACAGAGCGAGATCCCATCTCTAAGAAAAAAGAAAAAGAAAAAGCAAAAAGAATTGTCTAACCTAAAGTCATGAAGATATTCTCCTATGCTTTCTTCTAGAACTATGCTGTCCAATGCAATGTATTACACATATGTGGCTATTTAAATTTAAATTAATTAAAATTAAGTAAAATTCAGAATTTGATTTCTCATATTACCCACATTGGAAGTGCTCAATAGCCACACATGGCTAGTGGCTACCTAATTGGATGGTACGGAAACATTCCCATCATCACAGAAAGTTCTTTTGGCCAGTGTAGTCCTAGGAGCTTTTTACTTTAAAGATATGATCCATGTTGAGATAGGGGCCAAGGTTCATTTTTTCCCTTATGTTTTTGCTGTTGTTCCAGCACTGTTGTTAAAAATGACTTTCCTTTTGGTTGACATTATACAAAAATCATTGTATTACTACATACTAGTAATGAAAAGTAAGAAAGTAAAAAAGTAACTCCAAAATAACATTTAAAAATAGAGCAATTAAGAATAAAGTTAACAAAGCATGTTCAAGACCTGTACTCTGAAATTTTCAAAAAATAACAAAGGGAAATTAAAGAAGACCTAAGTCTATGGAGAGACAGAGCACGCTTGTGGGTTGGAAGGCTTCAGGTATAAAGTCATACAGTCACAGACATAAGCTACTGCACTTTCCTTCTTTCAAGAGCCAAAAGTCCTTCGGTTTTTGTCTGCTTAAGTTCATTCTCTAACGTCTTCCCACAGTTGTTTTTTATATTTTGTCCAGATTTTATAATTGTTATCTGCAACAAGCTATGCTGCCATGACTGGAACAGAAACCCACTTGCCTCTGAAACCCTCTTGGCCTTTTATGAATCATCTATGGTGCCACCTCCTGCAAGAAGCTCTCTTGTGTCATCCTAACTTTTTAAAAACCGTAACTGTCTATTTCAATAGAGCCCTGAACACTGAAACCCTTTTTTTCACTTATTTGTTTTGAGAATTTGTACTCTTCATTTTCAGCTTGTTATAAGAAATGCAACGTGGGCTTAACCTGTTGACTATAATATCACTGAACTCCACCAGCCAGAATACAAAGATTGTTCAGAATGTTCTGATCCGATTCTCAGCCTTTTCTTCATCTCACCACAGGTTACATCATGTCTCCCCTGTACCTGTGAAATTCTCTGTACCTGAGCGGA